CAAATACTGGACCAAAGGACCACAACACTTTGCACGTGTTGACTCGTAACTAGTTCACGAGAGCTTTCAGTTTTACGGAATGTTTAGCGAGGATCTGTTCACTGGGTGTTTGCTGTAAGTACATCAACGATTCAACGAGTTACCAAAGGACTCGGACAAAAACACACCAATCAACGGCCTACATACACCATCGAGCTTATAGGCCGAGAGCTGCTGCAGCCAATCCCGGGCAGCCAAGCTCGGATCAAAGCGTCAGCCCAATCACCCTTCTGGTCAGAGGCTGGGGTTCGAGGAACGCCGGGCAACTTATCCAGGACTTGCGCCGCACGCGAGACGGGTTCGCAGACTCCATTGATTGCATGTTCCGGGAGGGCCACTGCTCATTACGATCACGTTTTGGAGTGGTATTGGATTGTTCCAGCTGGACGCTAGTAAACTGGGGTCGCTTGGTAAGCGCTGAAAATGTTGACAACGCTCAAGTAAGGAATCAGATTTATCCAGCGGCGTCTAGATATGGTCTGGATGCATCAAACGAGTGTTCAATCCGTGTGCAGTGTTCTTGGAAAACTCCTAAAAAGAATAGAAAGGCATTCAATTTCGAGTCACTATGCACAGAAGTGGCTGCGTCTACCTGCCACGGGTCGCAGGTATATGACGCAGCCCTGTCCCAAACGAGCGCTGATCATGATTCGTAATGCGCTCATGGACAAAAATAATCCGTAACGCCACTTGTCAAATTATGCTCCGATGACGCATACCGAATCATTCCGTGAAGACCCAGTCAGTTTCCCATCAGCACCGATCAGGTCGATGATCGTTTCAAGATGACCCTGACGAGTTGGACTTAAAATCCAGGAAATTGCGCATCACATCATCGATGAGTGAGTGACTAACGATTAGGAATTTTGATCCGAATCCACGCACGCGTTTCTGCTATAATTTCCCACACGCAACATGTAGGCATAACATGATTCATCATCTCAGCATATTCATCGTCCTGCAGAAAATGTCTGCGAAGTGTACGGCCGATCGTCAGGTAGCAAGTTACTCCAAGCTGCCAAGACGAAATCCGCACGCTGCCTCCGTCAATCAAACACCCACTAAATCAGAGACACCGGTACGGTCTACAAGCACCGTCGGCCCTATTATATCACCACCGTCAGATCGGAGTCGACGGCGGCGGTCGGTGCCAGCCGGGTGCGGCGATTTACGCCCCGGATGACATGTTTATGGGCCGGCGGCGCCCAGTCGGGTCCATCTGTCAGCCCAGAGCCCACCCCGTGCCGACCGAAATAGTGGCAGCGGCACAGCGGCGACCGAAATACCGCCGGCCGCACACCCACACTCACTCATGGTCAAGGTCAGGTCGCCGCTCGACCACGGCCGGGGATCAGCATTGAGCAGGTCGGAGACGCTCTATTCAGATATCGGAAAATTTTGTTGTATGGCCCGAAAAGATGTTGATTATAAAGACCGCAACAATGGCAAAAGACGAAGTACCTATGTATAACATGCCTGTGTTATGATTAACTGGTTCCCAATCATTATGAGACTTTTAATTGACAGGCATTTGAAAATTAGACAAACATACCTAGATGTTTATTTCTGCGAATACAGCGTTGAAGTCCATAAATTCATCACCGGTCGGCGGCCATTATAGTTCTGAGCTAGATCTAAACGGCTATTGTCATGTTTAACAATCGCTTCACGTCAGTCATTCGATGTCGTAATGCCCTTTGTATTCATCTGTCATTTTCCCGTCAGAGTATGCACTTATGTCTTACATAAATCACACCAAAAACCCGTCTTCCTATAAGTCACTGCCCTCGACCTTTGCCCGATAACGAACACCGGAACATCGGAACTCAACATGCACCCGGGACAAACCATTGCCATGGTGACGTAACCATGACGTCACGACCACCGTGCCGGCTTCAGTCGGACACCGCTCGCTGGTCTCACGCTCAGTGCACTCTGTGGAGATGCACAGCCCAGGCACGCGTGATGAACCGCTCTGAGCCCGGATTTGGACGTGTTTTGGCATCTGCCAGCCGACTCCCTCTGTGGTGGTGGCGATATAAAACACGCGCCTGAGTGCCAGCGCGTGGGGAGAGTCCGTGCGATGAGACTAGGCTGATTCTTTGTCTCTTTTTTTCTGTATCTAAAGAAAGTGCCAGCATAAGACTGCGCAACCATGTCAATTGTCAGTGGTTTAGAGAGTCAGGGGACCCAATTATCAGTCAGTTATTCTACGTCGATATCTTGGAGTGCCAGCCTTGATCACAGCCCCGCGTGGGTCGTCGCCACCTCAGGCCAACTCGGTGTGTGTTCTTTCTCGACACATGTGCCGCCCGCAACGGTAGCGTCATCCACAACGGCGTGTTCATGAGTCACACGCAATCCACACCACACGGGCAGGAAAGGAAACACCACACAGGGAGAAAAGGACATGCCACACAGCGAGCCGCGAGAGATGGACGAACACAGCGTACACCGAGGGACATCATGGTGCCAGTACTGTTTCGCTCCCTCAAAATGGTTGCAAATTAGGCGCAAACTCGGCGACACCTTGCATGCAATAACGCTGCAGTGCGTTCAATCAATGGGGTCATGAAGATCACGAAACATGAACGGAAATTCATTTGAGACTAGCAGCGCTGCTGAGACAAATTCGAGGTGTGATTATCCACGGCAATGAGAATGATTCTCAAACCAAGAGAAAACATTTCACCTGGTGCGATACCGTAAACTACCCTAACCCAAAGGACGAAGCAGAAACAATGAAAAACAGCATATGATCACGCTATGCTGACGTTCATGGAAAAGAAGGGATGAAGCCCTTTTGATGTTGAGCTTGGAACAATATCTGTTTCACAAAACTCTGAGGAACTCACGTTTTCCAGGACTTTAGTTCACTTCAAACAAACCAAACACTAGAACACGCGTCTCGCCAGTCAGTCAAAGTCCGCCGTCTTTTCGGCGAATATCTCCGTGCCTGAGACGAGCCACCGTGCCGCTGACAAGTGTCGAGCACCTGGCTCTCTGTCACGTCCGATCCTGTCCAATCCCGTCAGAACGTGTACTATCTCAGGACTGTCCTCGTGCTCACACATCCAGACGGCTCAACTTCCGGGGGAGGGGGAGGGGGGATTGACCAGTGTCTGACCTGACACAGGTGGTCACCAGTCATCACACCGCAGAACGGACTGGACGGAACAGCGAGACAATTGTTCTGGCATTTAACAGCAGCCAGAGGGGAAAGGTCATCACTGCATCTCAACGGTTCAGTTAATTCATTAAAAATATGAAGAAGTCAGTAATCATTTCATCAGAACAGTGCAGCTGCAGCCGGAAATAATACAGGTTGTAACACTTAGTGACACTATCAGTGTGCCGAGCGACAAAGGCAAAAGGATGGACCGACAGCCAGTTATATTGTCAGTGACAAGGCTGTCAAAAGCAGTTGACAGACAAATCAACTGTCAGTCTCCTGAGTAGGCAGATCCACCGACCAGACAGACACTATCCACTCGCATCTCTGTTTACGCGTACGCTATCTGCCCTTCAATTCACGCGTTCGCGTTCGTACACTGGCCGTTTGTTGGCAGCAATAACAGAGAGAGAATTCGCTCTCAGTTCCCACTCTGAGGCGGCCCGGTAAAAAACTGACAGCGCCGGGGAGCTGACTTCATCCGTCCGCCCGTCTGTCTGTCTGTCTCTGTCTGCCCATCCTGCGGTTGGTGTGAGGTGCGCTTTTGTTTGAAACGGTGCGGTTGTGGGAAGGGCGGTGCACGTTGCACAGCAGCAGCGAGTTCTACGCACGACTGTACGATTTTGTGCGCCCGTCTGTCTTTGACAACCGGCCATATTCAGACATCCCGTCCTGTAGTTATAAATGGACAAGTATTGTATCGAGAGTACATGAACCTCCAGGCTCCACGAATCAAACTATTAAAACAGTTACATTTAAGGCGTACCGGTTTCGTCTATTGACTTCTTCAGCGCCGTATGGCGCTGAAGAAGTCAATAGACGAAACCGGTACGCCTTAAATCGAGAGTACTAGGCGCTGAAGAAGTCAATAGACGAAACCGGTACGCCTTAAATGTAACTGTTTTAATAGTTTGATTCGTGGAGCCTGGAGGTTCATGTACTCTCGATACATCCCGTCCTGTCCAGTGTCCAGTCCTCTGTCATGTCCTACACGGTCAGTTGTCCTGTCTTGTTCTGTCTAAGTCACGCGTCTTGTCCTGTCTTGTCCCATCTGTCATGCCATGCCACGTCCTATCCAAGCTCTCGCCTCGCCTGTCCCCAATACGCACGCCTCTCCCCAGGCAGTGGGAGCGGCAAGTGCACCGATCTGCAGCCAGTGTGAGTGAGTGCGGTTGCGTGGCCGGGGTTTGTGATGTGACAAATGGCAGTCTGTCAGTGGCAGGGGCTGTGCGGGAGACGGATGACCGAACCCTCCCAGTCGGTCACAGCTGCAGGCACAGACGGAGAAACAGACCCGCAGCGCTGCAGCTGCACACACTCAGCAACGAGGCCAAAAAGCAGCCGGCTTTGTACCGAAACGGGGAAAAGTAACACATCACTAATTATAACAAGCAGGGATGCATGCCGTGTTTGCTTTCTGAGCTTCTGTTTAGTTTTAATTTCTGAGCAATTGTTGTGTAAACGAGCAAAAACGTTTTATTCGCAAATTACTGAGCCAATGGAAATACAGATAGATATACCTTATATCGCAATGTCTCAGTTCGCATTTCAGTCAGATCAGAGCAGACCATAGAATAAACAAGACAGCACACGTATAATGCATCATAAGGGATTTTACATCTCAGCTATCACAAACGCCAGCTCCGTCTAGCCATGTGTGTAATCCCGGCATGTCGGCAACGGCATGCATGCACTTATATCTTTATCTCGCCATCATCCGTGCCACCCGGTCGCAGTGGGCGGCAGCCGCCACCGCCGCCGCCGCCGCCGCCGCCAGACCGTCAGTCGCGCTCGAGCCGCCGAGTAGTGCGGGCGCCGCCGCCGCGGCTGCCACCCCCGCTTCCACCACGTGCCGTGCCGATGTCGCCCCGCCGGGAGGGCGGCGTGAACGTCGCCGTGCTGCTAGCACTGCCACTGCTGCTACTGCTGCTGCTGCCCATTGTCAGAGGTGAGTGTAAGAGGTGGGAGGCAGGGTATACGAGCTGAAGTGTGTATGTGTAAGGATGATCTGAGGGCTGTTCACGGACCCTGTGTGCGGTCGGACCGCACACAGCCTCCAAGCTCCGCCCACTGCGTCCCTACGTCAGCCTTGCGTCACCGCACACAGCGACCGCTGTGGCCGGTCGGGACTGGCCACAGCGGACCGTCCACCGCACGCAGCCGTGACGTCAGAGCCACCTACCCATCCCCTACCCCCACGCCTGCTGGACGTACCGCACACACCGCACGCAGCAGTGTGCGGTGCCCGTGAACACCCCTCGGGACTCGAACTGGATGCAGTCTTGGACCGGGTAGGCATATTAGACCGGATAGGCTAGTGAAGAAATACGTGAACTAGCACGTGCGCTATTTGGGTTAGAGGTGGCAAAAGATGAAAATTTTGGGAACCAGACTCGAACCAGACCCGGCTGGACATTTCTGGAACCAGTCGGACCCGGTATTAGTTGGACTCGGAACCAGTTGGACCCGTTCCCCAAAAGTCAATTAATACAAACTACTTGTTGGTATCATTAGTTGCATCATGTAAAACAGCCTATTTTCCACTGGGAATGCTCATGAGCTACTGTGTGCAAAGAAACATTCACTTCATTCACTTAATTCACTTCATATTTTGCAATAATGTGTAGTGTGCAAGATGTATAGTTTATGGTAGGACCCGGTTGGACCCGTCAGAAAATTTCCAGGAACCGGTCTGGACCCGGACCGGGTCCTCGGGTCCACAGTTTGCCACCTCTAATTTGGGTATAAGCTGACACGGTATAGCTTCCTCGCGAGCTTTCTCTTCCACAAAGGTAAAAACAGCATCGCGGACATTCATCCGTCCGTTTGCAAAGACAATGGATTTAATCCACTGACAACTAAACGACGGCTTTTGCGTGACGCTGATTTTTAGTGCGTTTCTTCCCGGTCAGCATTTAGAGCATTCGATGCATTCGATTCCTTTAACCGAAGGCATTTACCGCTTTTGCAAGTCGCTATATCAGGATACAAAATGATTGCACCAGAGAAATTCCGTAAGTCGACCGACGCACACCAAAGTGCCAATCGACGCGCTCTTGAATCAGATGCCGGATAAACGGCGCCCATCCAGACCCTCCGTCTGCCGGACATGTTTTCTTTCTGTCTCCTAATTCGAACTAATGGTGTGTCCAACATCCACATAAGTTTTCCTCTGGTTCCTAATTTCGGCCGAGCACGGCGGCGTTTGTTGGACTCTCCGTGTGTCCGGCGTGACTCCGTAACTCGTCGGGCGTAACTCCGTCCGTAACTCGTCGAGCGTAACTCCGTCCGTAACTCGTGGGGCGTAACTCCGTCCGTAACTCGTCGGGCGTAACTCCGTAACCCGGCCCCGACTCCGGGGAGCGGGCCGGCGAGTCGGCCACTGACTCAGCGGCGGGTGGCCCGCGTCACTCATCATCCAACAACTCACCGCCGGAGACGAGCGTTTATTTGGCCAGCGGATAATGGCCCGTGCCAACTCTCCTGCACCGCTGCCCGGTCTCTGTCGCTCGGCGCACCGCTTTGCAGAACGGCGAAACTGAGAAATTCACACCTCCGCACGCACTCTGCGTATCACTGGCACGGCTGTTTGAGTTTCCTGTGACGCACAAAACTGGCATACGAAGCCGCAGGTAGTTCAGCTACTGATCATTACACTGAATCTAACCAAGCACCTGTGCATAGCGCGCACTGTGCAATGAACGGTTCTCTGACGGATAACGGCAGACGACCGCCGTCCTGACAGAGCTAAGCATGCAGATCGTCGCAAATCGGATGTGGTTTTGCACCGACTAAAAACGGAAAGAGCATCTCCGTGCAGCCGGCACCAGCCAGCACGAAGATCAAGGCCACGCGATCCCGTCAGCGAATTTCGGCCAATTTTCCTGGTGTGTGCACCCGGATGATTGCCTATCAGGAATGGGGAAGAGATGAGTCGGTAAAAATTGCAGAGGACGAGCTCGTTTTACCGAGTCGGTGCGGAATTTACCCACAACCCACTTCCCAAGTCTAATTCATCCTTGATAGCAAACTGATACTACGCAAACAACGACCGCATTAGCTCAGTTGGTGCAACATTTTCGTCATTTCAAGCCGGCAGTCATGTCGTCCCTCCCTCCCACTCCCCTATCCGATGTCAAGTCCGGTAAAGCACACGTGCTGACCGGCCGGTCCTAGTTCACGTTCAGACGTGTTTGGCTGGACCCAGACTGTCCTTATCAGCCGGGTCTGTTTACAAGGACCGCCGGCGTCAGATGTCCCCGCGTCCCCACCTCCCCGCCCTCCCCGGGTCCACTCCCCCATCAAACACCAATCAGACCCCATCTGATATCAATACTGTGTCACTACTCTCATCAAACACCCATCGGAGCGGCACCGGAAGCACGGTAATCCACACGACCAGACCGCACCACGTTCCACATTTCATCGCACCTGTTCCGACCACTCCGTTTACCAATTTCCCACGTTTTTAGCGGCGTCACCGCCCGTGCCACTTCCCATACAGACCCGTCCCCGTTCTCAGCCGGTGGCTAACACCCGTGCTAACCGAGCTGTCTCCCGGCGTGCTGACCACCGCTTGCAGTCAGCCCGCCGGCCAGTAATATGGGTCATCTACGCTGTATCGGGGACAGGAGATCGCAGCGTCGCGACGCCCGGGCGGTGGGCGGTGGACGGTAGACGGCGGACGGTGGGCGGTGGGCGGCAGCGGCAGCGCGCCGGTGTCCAGCGCTGACCTACACAGCAAGCCTCACCGGCTCGGCAGCCCGCGGCGAAAGTCGTTCAGCCGGCCGGCGCCGGTACCGGCCGTGAAACTGCCCCCGGCACCGTGGCACACATCCACGGTCCGATCACGGTGTGATGCGGCACAGTCGCCCTCGGCCGTCTCAGGGGCAGCGATCGGCCGCGGCGGCGGCGCGGGTTCAGACACCCCCCCCCCCCCCGGCGCGCCGGATGTCTATGGTGGCACGTCTGACCCCCACAACGGAGATGACTCGACAGTCGACAGCTTCCATTTCAGTCATTTGCCAGACACGCAAATTCCACAGCCCCGCCGAGGGATCCCCGATGATAAGCGTAGCTTCCGGAGCTTCTCAACTCGTGCACATTTGCAACAGCTGTGCGGCTGCTCAAATATCACTCCACCCTCCGCGTGTATACCGATTCAGCGTGCCGATCTGACGCTGCGATGCTCGGATACTGACACCCGAGTTCGCTGGACCATCAATCTCTGCAAAATCAGCACGGCACGCTGCTGTTTCGGGCTTCCTTACCAAAGATTTGAGCACCGTGACCACGCGATACCGCTGCCCGGGACAAAACGGTCACACGATCAGCGGCTGGCAGACGGGGCCGGCGACATTCAGTTTCCCACACACTGCACTGGGAGCGGAGAGGATGACATTCAATGCGGGCATCCCGTTACCGAAATCATGTTCCACCTCCCCCGGATCTGACAGAGACCGGACCCGGCCGCCATTGACAGAACTGCACCCCTGAGCGTGCAGCGCAGAGTCAGCAGGAACGGTGACTCATATGACTCCACACCGGCGCGACTCGGGCAGGACTGGTCCATTCATGAGTCGGCATCCGAGGATCAGATAGCCAATGCAGGACGGCCGGGTCTGTGAGCCAGGGCCGCCCTGCGGGTCAGAGTCGGCCGTGGAAGGTAAATGTCCCTCCGGCGAATACATTAGCGTCCATCGCTGTCAGCTGAGACACGTCACAGCCACCCGAGTCGCAGAATCAATGGAAGGTGAATACTCTGGAAAGCATACAGTAGCTATCCAGTAAACTCTGGCATTAAATCAAACCTCGAAGCCTAGCCCCAGGTTGGTCAGAAATGTTGTGTGCGATTCTCCCCACCTCAGCGATTGGGACTCAGTCCCATGTCGCTTCCACCGTCCGATCAGCGGCGCGCGCGGGCAGGAAGCACCTCCTGCGACCGTCCCTCCCCACGGGACAGGACCACGAGCCGTGACACGAGCACAGGTCGGCCAGGCGGAACGACAGCCATCGATTGACAAGCCCACGGGAAATGGACCGCGCGCCGGGGGCACCCTGCAAATGACCCGAATGGGAGTCGGCGCGGAAATGACCCCGACTCAACGGTACAAAAACGGGATGACGAGTGAAAACGATCACTCCTGCTTTCAGTCAATGATCAGGCCGTGCTGGCCAAATGATGGTTTTGGCAGGCGAGCTGCGAGAATAGTGCGACCACTGGCATACAGGGTCTTTCATAATGAATGTTACTTTTGAAAGAGCTATTTCTCAGGTCATATATGTTCCTCATGTAATATGTACCATCACATAAAACAGAAACACATTAGCGTTTTTGCACACACAACTTTCATTTTAGTGCTCCACAGGAATTTTCCACTGTATCGCCCTTAATTAACCCTCGCCGGCCGAGGAGGGGGGGGGGGCGGGTGCCGCCCCCCCATAGGGTTTTTTCGCGATAGCTCCGAACACGCTGGCGATAGAGAGCTGAAACTTGGCATACCTGACCTTTGATCCAAGCCGCATCTTTTGACACCAACCGCATTTTTGGGTCAGGTCAGGTCACTGACCTATGACGTCATAAGTGAACCTCTGCACGGTCTTCAGATGTCGCAACTTCGCAACGCCCTCACTGCCAGAGGAGATGTCACAGGGAAATGAAACTTGCGGGATCTAGTATCCATTATGAGTCCCACAACTTGTATATCTCGGATTTTTCCTAAAGGTCATATGAGGTCAGGTCATTTTCGTGACCTCACCATTATAAGTCAATGGGGAAAAATGAAAACTGCTATTCTGGCGCCGGGAACGATCTCCAACTATCTCAAGCACACAGAATCGTGATTTGATGCACTCCTTGCAAGGTTAGATGCGTCACTTTTGCAATGTTGACCTTGCGTGACATCATTTATGACGTCATCAAGGTCATATTAGTTTTTCGTCAATAAC